TATATATATATGGTTCATTATGGTTCATAATGGAGCTAAAGGCTCAGAGGACATTCTGGAACATTATCTTGAAGATATGTCAGGCTTTCCTAATAAACATGAAGTGGAACATGTACTAGAAGCCAGCGTAAGCTAAAAAATATAAAAGTAAAATAGCTAATCTATGATGTGTTTCAAAACAAAAACTGAGCTGCAGCCTAGCGTGGTAGCTCATGTTTGTAATCCTAGCACTTGGGAGACTGAGGCAGGAGTATCACCAGGGTTTCAAGGCCATCCTGGGCTACCCAGCAAGACCCCGCCTCAAACAAGCAAACAAAATTGAAACTTAGTAAGTCTTGAGAAGGAAACTAGCTGGGGCTCAGTTAAATGGTGACATGTTAGGCTCAGATAACAGATCTGCATGTGGTAAATGTTAGCTTCTGCCTACACATCTGCACTTCTTCACATCTATTACACTTGTGAACTTTTTAGCCAAATCATCTATCTGCTCTCCATATCATGTTCAAGGCTTGCATGAAATATATACAGCTGTTACCTTCTCTTCCTGTCACCCTACAGGTGAAGTTACACAACAAAGTTCATTTCTGACCAATTTGCTAGACTGGTAGGAATACACATTGAATCTCTGGGCCTAAACTCGAACTGGCCTAACATGGCATTCACCTACTAGGCAATCACACTTCTTTTTTTCAATACCTCTTATGCTAATTACAGAAGCCACCAGACCCACAAACTCCACTGAATTTGAAGCTGTAACGTTGTAGACTAGGGAAAATATTTGTTACTGTTTCAAAACACTGATTTTGTTCATCAGTGTATCTGGGTACGTATTTGTCCTATTAATCTTCCACTATATTCTTAGTCTGAGACATAAGGTTCAACTTCTTCCCAGGAGTAGCTACTTAAGAGTCACATAAAAACCAGGAGAATATTTACTTTATCTACAGCTGAGAGAATACAAATGACTCAGCAGCAGCTAACACTGGTCATAGAACGTTCAGAGTGCACAGTTAGCAGCCTTTAATTCCCAGTGACTATCAAGAGACTTGGCAGCAACTAGTCTCTTAAAAACAAAGGAAAAATAGTATTTTTCTAAATAGTAAGAGAATAATAGTAATAGTCTGGCTTCTAAGATCCTACTCTTTGAAATAGCACCTAAGGCAAGGGACCACAGTTGTGTCCCTTCACAGCCTCAGGAATCTTCGTGCCCAGCTTCACACCCACCTCAGGACATGAACCAGCCTACCACATTCCCCATCTGGTACACTGGCCATTAGAGGCAATGCAGTCTCATGCAGCAGCACATTAAAATCAAACTGTGGCAATTGCTGACCACCCTGGGAATGTTTGGAGACTTTCACATTTCCTCAACCTTAAAATCTACAAACATGACAGGATGCAGGTGAGTTCAGTATTAACTCATCCGGTGCACAGGAGTGCTAATAAAATGCAGGATTTACTGTGGTAAAAAGAAAAGCCACCTGAAACAACTTGAAAATAGTTAAGTATGGAATATAAACACTGGTTCCTTCCTGTTCATACTAGTGGAAGAACGTAAGGGGCAAGGGTGCCCACTGGGCCATGAGGCTAACTCCTTAGCACAGGCAATGAACATTTACTGCCACAGGTCCTGCAGGAAGAGAAATCCCAAGGTATACAGTATTCCTGAGAAAGATCCCAGATTTTTTCTGAATCAGTCTTAATCTGATTTGTTCTAGCTATGTATATGTTAATTCAGAAATGGTCACTTTATTTCAATCCAGACAGCTCGGCATAGTACATGGTGGCAAAAAACCCATTTGTTCAGACTTGGCTTTGTGGCAGGGGGGTTGTTTTTAATACTGGGTGATACACAAAAAAATAATAAAGGAAGCAGCTTTATCCTTTGTATGCTTCATTCTATTCACTAGAGGGAAGTCCCCAGGGCCTTTGGGTAATCTGAGAAGACCTGACTATTCCTGGGAGGGAGCGAAGCTGTGCTGAGCTTTACTCAGAATAGTGCATGATGGACTCGACGTAGTTCCCAGGGAAGAGACCTGTCACTCCGTTCATCACGCCCTCATACCAACCATCGTCGTTCTTCTTGATGACGTAAATGATGGCTCCTTCCTGAAAGGACAGCTCATCTTCCTTGTCTTTTGTATAATCATAAATTGCCACAACTGAGGGAAACAAAACAGGATGTGAACAAGAATACTAGTCCTGGAAAGACAAAATCATAGATGCACTCAAGCACAGCAACTTTCTGAACACAGACTAAAATTTATATGTATATATTTTCTAGTAGCCAGTCGTATACAATATTTTCCAGTTAAGTTAGGTTCTATATCCAGTATAAATAGTAAAACAAGCCGAAAAGGAAGAAAAAAAGAAAACACAGTTACTGCCCTTCAATACCCTATGAGGAAATGCCATAACTTCAGAGAAAGACAATTTTTTTTAACTATTTTATTTATTTTTATCTTATGTGTATGGGTGTACTGCCTGCATATATTTGAGTGCACCCGTGTCGTGCAATGCCACGGAGGTCAGAAGAGGTCTTTGGATTCCCCTGGAACTGGAGTCAAGGATGGTTTGTAGTGCCATGTAGGTGCTGGGAATCGAACCTGGGTCCTCTGCAAGCAGTCAGTGCTCTTAAGTACTGACCATCTCGCCAGCCCCAAGAAAGACAATCTTTCAGAGTCATTGATGATGGCAATTCATGTGCTTATACTGAGGTACCATATTGTGTAAGAAAATGCTTATATTCAAACACTGGAATCATACTGATATTGTGAGATACATTATGAGAGGGAAGTGCGAAATGAAATGAGAGGCTAAGGAAAAGCAGTCCACATCTCCTTTCCAAAATTTATGCCTATTCAGTGAATGGTGGGTGAATACCCACAAGTTAAATGCCTAACAAAGGGAATCCAGAATGAATATATAATATATATATATGCTTTCAAAATATCAACCGCATTGTTACCAATTTAATATACCTACAATAATAATAAAAGTGCTAAGGGAACCAAGACACCTATAAGCTCTCCTGTGATTTTTTTTTCCCTTCAAGCACTTGGTAATGGGCCTCTAAATCACCCTCTCAGATAATCTCTGGTTCCTAAAATCACACCTACCTTAGGGAGTTTTGGTTAACTGGGATACTTTATAACTTATTCATATCTACTTGAAGACTTTAACTTTGCTCCAGTCCCTTGTACCCTTTGTAGACCACTAAGAACTTCACTCAAAAAAAACCTCCAGCTAGGCTAGTGAAATGGCTCAGTGGGTAAAGGAGCCTACCACCAAGCCTGATGACCTAGGACCCATACACACACTGGGAGGGAAGAACAGACTTCTACAAAATGTCCTCTGACTCCCACATGCATACCACAGCACGTGTGTTCACATACACCCATGCACACACAAAAAGATAAGTATAATTTTAAAAATTAAAAGAAAAATGTTTTTCGAAGAATCTACTGTTTTTGTTCCTCATGTGATCTTATTCACAGATCACTGAAAAACAAAAACTACAATAGGGATTTCTGATAGAATGTAACTTTCCTTAAAGAAAATCTGAGGGCTGGGGATGTAGGTCAGTGACAGGGCACACATAAGCCCTGAGTTCCAACCCCAGCATCACGGGAAGCAAAAAGAAAATGTGTGTTTCCAGCACACTTTAGCAAAAGTTATTTGGCTTCCCTAACCTGTGAATATTTTCTAATTGGGATACACTGAGAACACTGGGAAATACTTTGCAGAAGCCTACCTTAAACAGGTTAAGGCTGTATTTCTCAGAATAGACCTAAACTAAACAATCCAATATAATTACATGACACAAGCTTGGGTTAAAATGCAAGAAATTTTGAATTAGGGCATTTAGTATTTCCAGTCTAATGTTCACTTAGCTTGTGGGGTTTTTTGTTTGGTAAGAAAAAACATTCTTGGTACTTAGAGAAATACAAACCTACTGAAAGTAATTTATATTCTGGTGCAACAAAGAGTAACTTAGTAGACATAGAAAGTTATTAAGCTCTAGGTACATCCACTTTCTCCTTAAGATGTAGAAATTGGCCGAGACAAAACTTACATTGAATAGGATGCCATGTACACTGGTTAGATTGCTGTAGAGATGAGGGTCTTTTTTTTTTTTTTGAGGGGGTCAAAATTAGTAATCACTTGAAATTTTTTAAATTTTAATCCCCCTCAAAAAATGCATGATGGCACATACCCTCAATTCCACCACTTGGGAGGCAGAGGCAGGCATATCTCTGTGAGAGCTAGGCCGTCCTGGGTTTACATAGCAAGTTCTAAGCCAGTTGGGACTACAGGGAGACCCTGTCTCAAAAAAAGACCAAAAACAAACAAAAGAATGTTGTCTAGAAATACACAAATTCAGGGCTGGAGAGGTAACTCAGTGGTTAAGAGCACGGGCTGCTCTTGTAGGGGACCCAGGTTCATTCCCAGAACCCACATGGCGGCTAACAAGCATCTATAACTTCATTTCCAGGGGATCCTAGCCCTCTTCTGACCTCCACAGGTATTGCATGACACAGGTGCACCAACCTACATGCAGGTAATACACTCATACACATAAAACAAAAGTAATAGAAATAATTAAAAATACTCATTTTCATTCCAGGGAAATATATACTAAATGATAAGCATTTGGCTTTGTATGTGGTTATGAGCAAAACATGGCACTGATGGGATCTGCATTTTTTTCTCAACACATCTAGTACCAATGTGAAAATATACTCCAAATTTCCAAGAGCATTTTTTGATGTTAGTATTTCAACTGAAAATACTCTAAAACTACATTATGAAGGTCTTTAACTGAGTATAACTTTTTAGCTGAGATGTTTCTTTTTCAAGTTAATCATATAATTTTACATGAAGAATGTTGAAGACCTAAAGAGAGGAGGGGAAGGGAGAAGAGAGGAGGGGAAAGGAGGGAGAGGAGGAGGAAAAGAAGGAGAGGGAGGGAGAGGAAGAGAAGGGATTGGGGGGAGTGGAGGGGTGTCTCAGCCAACTTCGCTTATTTAACATGTAAGTTGAAACAGCCACAACACACTGCAGACTCCTTGCAGTACAAACTCCGCATGCTGCAGACTCCTAGAGGAAGCTGCTTCCTCACCTGTTTACCAACACTGAACACAAGGTGGATATTTCTAAACAAAATTTACATTCGGCATTCATCTACTAAGCCATATATATGTGTGTATATATATGTATGTTAAATATGCACTGGGAATGATACTAAAGTTGCACTACAGCAAAGTAAGAACTGAGAAGGCACACAGGAGTTGTGGTATAAGCTACAAAGATACTATAAAGCATCAAGAGCACAGCCAGCAATTAAGGACCCTGAACTAGTTGAGTAAGCTACTAGAAAATCAAAAGGTAAGAAAGGTTACCCACCTTTGCATACTGTTTTGTAAAGCTATGTCATAATCTGAGATGATTTTTACTTATATGGAAAATAAAAGATTTACCATAAGTGAGTAAAATGGCATTTAACATAATTTGGAATTTATGTATAATCTGCCCTGAGACAGACGACCATAATTAACTT